CTTTTTACCTGATTTATTTTATATTATTTTTTTCCTTCCATTCTGTCAATGAATTTCTCAAGTTACTTTTTTCTAATTCGGATCCAAATATATAGTTAATACTATTGTAGCTAAGCGACCACAATTCATTGTCATTTAATGAATATTTGTTCTTAACGATTTCAAATTCATCAGACAATGAGCAGTTAAAAACACCTTTATCATCTGTCTGAAATATTAAACCAAATTGAATAATAATAATTTAGAGGTGAAATAACTTTAAGCTTGATTGATATGAAATATCTGAATGAGTAAAATTGCAATTTTTTAAATACCAACCAAAAAATACAAGAAATATTTTAAAATAATACTTACACACAATGTAATGGGATGTTTATTTTCATACAAAAATTTAAAATGATGTTCATCATATGAATTGACAGTTTTGCACTTAATATTCGAGGTAATACAAATTTCGACAGGGATTTTTTTTTTTAATAATTCATCCCAGTTATTTTGATCTCCTCCTAATGATTCATGAATGCATGTGCCATGGCCAATTCTATCAGGATGAAAATCCAAAATGCTTTTTACTTCCTGGTTATCAACAACTTCACCACAATGAATTGAAATTTTAAGGCCTTCACTTCTAGCTTTATTTAAAATGTCAATGTAATCGATAAACTTGCTTTTAGTAGGGTTTCCACTCAAATCTATGCCCAATATAAGATTTGGAAATTTTTTCGAGTACTCAATAGCCAATTCAATGTTTTCTTTGGCACTCTCTATAGTTTCATTCCTGTTGACAGAAATGAGCAATTTAACTAATATGTTTGGGAAATGTATTTTACAATGTTGAACACCTCTAATCATTGCCTCCAAATAATTTTTTTTTGACATGTTTTTTTCTGCCCTGGGAGTGCTTCTGAGTTCTAGGTAAATCACATTATCTTTATTGAAATCTTCTATAACCCTCTTTGTAGCAGTTTCTACAGCTTCTGAAGTAGATGTAAGAGAATAAGTAATGTCGAAAATTTTAAAAAATCTGTTAAAACAAAAAAATTTTACATTATACAAATTGATGTGTAGCTATTTGTATTTTATAATCATAAGTGTTTCAATTTCACTAAAAACTTTTGATAAGTTTATCTTTTTTATTTTTTTTTAATATACATACTCGGGTAATAAAAAATATTTCTTTTTTAAAATAGACAGATCTAACGTCTTGCCAAGCTCAATTCCATTGGCCTGATGATATTCAAATAATTCATTTAAAGTTGTTTGACTAATTGATCCATTTAAATGAGCATGAAGTTCCTTCACAAAATAAAATGAAAATAATTATTTAGAATTTTAAAAACTACATTAAATTAAAAATACATACTCACAATTTTCGGTAAGCTTT